TTCAGGATGTTTAACCTATTTACCAGATAAAAAACGTAAGTAAAAATAATTTAACGTCAACATTACGTGGGTTTAACTGAAATAACCGAGGCGTTTAATAGTAAAACGTCTCCTCCTGAGGATGGCCGATCTGTAGTCTTTAGATGAAATGCACCATACCGACGTAAAGTGGGGGAAGCACTGCTAACAGTTACTCGTAACGCAAATGACCAATTTATGATCAATCCCATTGAGCCAATCACGTCGGGGTATTTTTTTACCCCAAAGCCTCCAATAGATTATACTGAATGAACTCGATTCATTACACACGCTAACCACCATGCCGAATCATCCGGACATTCGACTTGAAAATGGGTAAGTTCCTTGCCTGCCCCGCAGATAACCTAAAATTGCTAAATGCTTCCTCGTATCGTGGATAGTATGGGTGCTTGTCAGGGAAATCACAGGTGTCGAAGACAACACAGACCTTCCGTATTCCCCATCTAACTGAACCCAAGCATTATCGTTACCCCATACTTTCACGCGCGCTGATGCCATGGCTATGCGCATCGCAGGCAGTCCTAAAATGAAACGATTGGAACAGGTTATCCGGACCATGTGTTGGAACTGTCCCACCAAATATTCTTGAAATACATAACCTTGTAAACTTATATATTACCTGACCAAAATGCATACACTATCCGCATAATTTGTATGCATCAAGGTATACACAGTTCAAGGTTAAAATAGTGATCATAAATTGGTACTCAAAAATTGAGTAAACTTGCTTGGAAAGTCGTCTTTTTGTATTAACAGTACATCTTCAAATGTAATAATTTGATTATGAAGTGAAAGCTCTGTGTTCGGTTGTTAAGAATCACTTCAGAAAATGTGAAAAGTCGTCCTGTGAGCCGAGATATGCGAATTCTATGGTGACTACTCCGAATAAGTGATCATAAATTGGTCATTTACGTTATTATTACTAGTACTCGAGAATAGAACGATTAATAGTGTATTAATGTAAATGGCAGATACACTGTATATTTCACACAAATGTACTGTATATTTCACTCAAATATACTGTATATTTCACACAAATACTGTATAACGTTACTGTATATTCTACACAAATACTACATGTAGTACAGAGGGGCGACGGATTTTATGGGACACTTGCTACTTCGAATTTGCCATTTCATCGGAAATGATTGGTTGAATAACTTCGAACTTCGATGGAAATCTCGATATTTAGCCAATCACATAATGCTTTTTTCACATATTCAAATCTTATTAGCTAACGTTATACTACGTAGTACTTCGGAGTATTCTGTACTTCCATAAAACTTCGGTGTCCCTTAAAATCCGTCGCCCCCTGTACATCTATTCCCGAGTAATAATACGAGTAACAGTTATTAATATCAGCGCTTCCCCCATTACACCGACCTGCAAGATATCCTATTGACTGCCGTCCAAAGGAACAAAGTTTTGATTGGGGACAATTTGCCAGGCAGTGGGTGGGAGTTTGCACTTGCGAAGGTTGTCTGTACCCAGACACAAGTGATTAACGTGAGCACAGGCTGGGAATGTGACATGGTCAGTGTGTGTGACGTGGCTGAATAATTTCGGGTGTGGCGTCAATACGCTTGAAATTGTCGCTGGTCGTTCGTGCGACGGTTGAGTGTCCGTTTGGTAAAATTCGAACAATCTCTCTGTGAATATATCCACAAACCCTACCAAAGGCGAGAATGGCACAGCTGCATTGTCTACAATCTCCCGAATGCCGCATGATCGTCATCCTCTTCACCACCAACCTACCCACCCAACGAGCCTCGATACGGGTCAGTTCGACTCTCACTTTTCTCCCGTCACCACGTTTCAGTTCCACGCAGCAGCCACACCCACATCACCTCGAGCATCAGCGTCTGTAGCATCCCTGAAACATCGATGACGGAGGGTGCTGCTCCGGCTGGGCAGCGCCATCTTCCTCTCGCTCGCTGCACCGGTCGTCGTAGCCTTCGTGTGGTCTTCTTCTCGTTCAAGTGGCAGCACCGCCACAGACACTGACAACGCCCTGCCGACGTTTCCCAATACATTGCGACCAGTGTTTGGCAGGAATGGATCGGCCGAGCCCATTTGGAATACTGACGTGATCACCCCAGGGGGGCGACGCCACGCCCGTCGCATCCTCAAGCCAACCCCAGCCACACCTACCCCCAAGCGTTGCCGCTACGACGTTGTCGATTCCGACGACAACATCGGCAACACTAGATGGAAATGGCGGCGGCCCCATCTCTACTTTACTCGCCCTTGCAACCACCCGATCGCCCTCGAGGACTGCCAACATTAATCACCCCAAGGACGACTATTCCATCTTGGAGACAGGGATACTGGCGGCCGCGATCGTAGACGCAATGACGAACGCGCCGCCCCTTTCTACAACGACATCCCCGCCTTCAAACACACTGCCCAGTGCCTCGTCTTCAAATGTACCTCCGACAACAAGGAGCCCCCCTGATATCCGGAAACTCGCCCTGTTTTGGAACGTTGTGATTGCGATCTTCCAAAAATTCGTCACGGCACTACCAACAGCCATACGTACTGCCCCCCGTCAGCACTCCCACCGTGTGCATGACCCTGTATTCAACACCGTCGACTACTGAGATTTCGCCGTCCCTGGCCAATCAAAACCCCTGCAACATTCAATCAAGAACACCAACCTCCCCGACAGATACGACCAACGCGTTCGTACCCACAACTGTATCTCCGGCAACCACGACGCCTTCCCCCCCTGCCACCCCCAAGGCGTCCCCCGTCGCCGCTGGGGTCGTGCGCCTCCGAAACGCTTGTGGGGGATCTCGGAAGCGCCAGCAGGATCGAACTCCCATCTGATTTTGCGCTGGAATTGCCCTTGTCTTTGGTGGGAAATGTCACGTTTCGAGCATCAATGGATCCATCAATTCCTGTGCTCACCACCACAACATGTACTGTACGTTGAACTGTACACATGTATTTTGCACGGATGTACTACGTAACGTTAGTATAATACGTAGTAAATAGTTAGGGCCTGTTCCAAGTAGATATATTTAGCAAAATGGCAAAGTGGTTCCAAGTAGAGGTTCTTACTTTTTTACCTCTTTTTGTGCGATTTTTTACGCAACTTACTAGCAAAAGTAAAAAAAGAGGTCCTTGACGTCTTTTTCTAAATCGTGAAAAAAAAAAGAATCGATTTTGATTGGCTCATGCTATTGTGCTTTCGATTGTGGCGTGGTTTCTCGTTGGAATTTAAATTGATTTGATTGGCTACTTCAGATGAGCTTCAAAATTATTAGCCAATCAAAACCTTCTCAATGAAATTCAACCAATCAGATCGATTGTGAATCGGTTTGGTCGGCGCGATTCGATTGCACCCCCTCCCCAAATTTGTATCAAATCGACAATATTTCTGAAAACTACTTGGAACTTCCCCTTAATAAACACACTTGTTTTCTTATATATAGTGCAAGGAACGTTGCAGCGAGACGGTTACGACTGACTGGACTTAATCGTGGCAAGGCGAAGTAGCGAATCGAATGACATTCCGCTTACCATTCGGGTGGCGATTCATTCTTAAAGGGACGAGTGCCCAACCCATCGGTGCATGAACGAAGCGTGTGCGGACGGACATGCTGCGCTCGTCCAATCTCCTGGGGGACGCCGAGTGCCCCACGACCTCTGTAGACGTCTGGTTTTGCTGACACCAAATTAGATTTTCGGATATATTTATTATATTCAGTATGTGGTTGGGGTGCAACTACAGGTAAGCTGAGAACGGAAGAAATACTCTCGGCATCGTTGGTACGACAGGACGAATTGAATCGATTTCACTGTCAACCCTGATGTTCAGGGTACATACAGTATGGGAAAACTATGCTCCGAGTATTTTTTAGAAATTGACCGGAGTGAAAACAATTAAGTCTTGTATTGTATGGGTTGGCAAACTTCAAATTCTTGTAAGATTGTCTGCTATTAACAGTAAATTACATGAGCAATTGTATTTGGATACAAAAGGAAAGATATTGTATTGTGCCAACAATACAATGTTTTGGCGAGATCCACACTTCGTAGTTGTAATTGTGCAGCATCTTATTACAGCAATCAATTATTATTGACCATTGTTTTATCGCCAATTATTTATTATTTTTTTCATAACCCTGATGATGTTGCTCCTCATCACGTTTTTAGGAAATGGATTTATACGCACGCTGTACAATATGTCATGTCCCGTGTATGTTTAACAAGCGGTGATAGTCATGGACACTTGCTTCGGACACACCATGGTTTTGACATCATTGGGCACTTTGTACGCCACTGGACACGTGGCATCGCCACACGAGAGCGTTTTGCACGTGGGAAACTGCTGCAGGTTGGCTCCACTTGCAGGGCGTACCAGCACCGTCATGGGCAGCTTGAACGACGACGGGCCGATGCAAACGTCCCACGACGCCCCGCAGCGCACGGGGATGATGCTAATGTCGTAGTAGAACCGGTTGTCCGCCCCGAAGTGCGTCTCAAACAAGGTCGCGTCGCCCGATGCATCCCACCCAAAGTAAAACATTTGACTGCGCTGGGCCGTGCCGTCCACTTGGATCGACCCGCCAGGCGCCAACGACGTGAAAAACGCGTTGCTGCGGTACAAGTTGAGGGTCTTCCCGCAGTTGTTTTGGAACAAGAACGCCCCGTCATTGCCCAATGCCGCGGACGATGGCGGTGGTGGCGGCGGAGATGTGATGACGGCCGGTGGCGGTGGTGGTGGAGAGGTGGTGGCGGCCGGAGGCGGTGGTGGTGGAGAGGTGGTGGCGGACGATGGCGGTGGTGGTGGCGGTGAGGTGGCAACCACCGGCTTTGGTGTGGTAGTCGTGGTGGGTATGGGATTTGTGGGAGGTGGCAAGGATGTGGTGGCGGGCAGTGGCGGTGGTGGTGAGGTGGCAACCACCGGCTTTGGTGTGGTAGTCGTGGTGGGTATGGGGGTTGTGGGAGGTGGCAGGGATGTGGTGGTGGTTGGCGCGACGGTTGTGGTTGTCGTGGTAGGTGCTACAATCGTTGAGGTTGGCATATTGGTCGTTGTGGTGACCTCCACTGGAGGAATGGTCGTGGTGGTGGTATTGACTGGCTGGCTGGTGACTGGCTCACGAGTGGAGGGTTCAACTGTAACGTTAGGAAGGATTATAGTATTTGTAGCAACGACGTTGGGCACGCTTGTGATGTTCGTGCTGTTTCTCGGATCGATCTTGCTGTTGGCGCTGGATTGGACTTCGGTCGGGTTGGTCGCGGACAAACTCGCCACGCCCACGACTGCCCCCACAACCAAGAGACACGTCGCCGCCGTGATGACTGCGATACGACGGCGCCGTCGGCGTTGGAATCCATGTTCGTACTCATTCGAGTCCTTGGGGTCGACGGTGGTGGGGGGCGTTCGAGGTGCGTTGTGGAAGTCGGTGGCGCTGGTAACGTTATGGTCCACCATGTTTGGGTGCGATGTCCTGTCGATATTAATGTGGTGTTTGTGGTTGTGTGGGTGGATTTGAAGTGGGCTAGCTCTCCGTCCATGGTGGTGGTGGTGGTGGTGATGGCTAGCATTGTGCTGTTGCAAACCTGATGTAATGCTGGCGTGAGCTGTGTACCACAGTCATGACTGTTGGCCGCAGGATGGTCGAGGTGAAATATACTCAATTTCAATGCTGTTCATACATTAAATATGAACTGACATAAGTAGAATAGGTTTTTATTTTATTAAATCATAAATATGGTATATGAAATGTAAGCTTTCTTATGCATGCAAATACGTATAATTCAAGTCGTACCTAGGGGTGATATATACTGACCAGCACGCCGCCATTGTCATTGAGTCAGCAATTCCCAAAAGCAAGAGTTTCCATCCACTGTTGCTTTTGGGTACATCTCACTTGTTCATACCGTGTAGTGTAATACGAGTCGGACATTCATTACGAGTCGGACACCCGTGAAATTAGATAAATAATACCACTCACAACGAATTTGTTTTCAGAGTTGTCACTTCGCGCGGGCAATAAACTCCAATCCCTTATCTATATCCCCAAATATAATACAATATCAATTTATAGAGGGAAATTTTTCGGAGGTTTTACGGAGGTTTTTACGCGCGAAAATGCAATGGTGCCAACGAAAGACGCCATGGCCATTCACAAACGTGCCATGGAGCTCACAGACGATCAGCCACAACGCTTGCCCAAGATCGGAAGGCCGGTGTCGAAGTACGGCCCCAAGAAGAAGCCAAGGCAGTACAAGAACACAGTAGTTACGTACAGCGAGCGGCTAAGCGTTATTCAA